TACTACTACTACTACTACTCTCGTACTCTCTCTCTACTCTCTCTCTACTCTCTCTCTCTCTCTCTCTCTCTCTCTCTCTACTCTCTCTCTCTCTCTCTCTCTCTCTCTCTCTCTCTCTCTCTCTCTCTCTCTCTCTCTCTCTCTCTCTCTCTGCCATAACCCATCTTGTAAATATGTTGGTAATGGCCAGGCCTGGCCCTAAAAAACTAGGACTTTGGGCATAAAATTTGGCCCAAGGGCAGGGCCAGCACGGTCTGAGGATCGGGAAGGGCTGACCTTGAGCCATGGCCTAGACAGGTTTGACCCATCCCAGCCCCTTTTGTACTTATTTTTTATGCTTTTGTTTACTTTTATTCTAATTGGCTGGCCCAGCCCCAACAGGGCATGGGCCGGGACCTCTTCATGCCCTATCCACTCAGGCTGGCCCTATAGGGACAAGGGGTAGGGCTGGCTGAGCCCACTGCCACTCCTAATGTGAATGTCTATTATTGCCAATGGACAATGGATTTCCCATAGTCCATTAGATTGTGGCATAGGTTCCTGATTGTTATCAAATAATCAAACCTAACTTTTCTGGTATGGCCATATTTTTCTATACCTTTTAGCCTTTTAATATATGCTAAACACCCACAAAAACTTTCAAGGATGGACATCAAGATCAATAACCACAATGATAACATCAGATGCTAATTCCTACAGATCTGACAGTTCTAGTGGTTTTTAAAGGCGTACTTATTATTACAAAGGACGAGATTTTTTTAGAGTTTCTATGATATCATTGCTCTTTCAGATGCAAATTCGTACAGATTATACTGTCTGCCAGTGATATAAAGGCTTACTTATTGCGAAGAACAAGAGATCTATTGAGAGTTTCAATGATATCATTGATGTTTGACCCATGGCCAATGGATGCAAGCCTCAATACGTCCTCTTCATCTAAATCCAAATCTGACACCCTGTATGTCAAATAAGAGAAGAAAAGCATATAAGGAATGAGGAAAATAACAAACAAGGATGTATTCAGTGTGATAAGTCTCACAATTTGTATGATGCAAGCTCTTTGGCCAAAGATAGACTCCTCTCCTGTAACCTAGAGCACTCAGAAGTTGATTTTGAAAGTTCCTGCACATGTAATCAAACAAAAGAATTAAAAAGGTCTCCAGAAAAACAAAAAGAAAACTAATACAAGAGCTGAGACTAGGAAAATGGCACCATACTTTGTTAACCTTGCGTGTTCATTATTATTCAACTAGACAGTCAACTTTGCGTGTAGCAAACTATACAACTAGACAGTCAGCTTTGCGTGTTCATTATTATTCTTAGAACTTAAGAACATGACATTATGAATTTCAAATCATTACTTCAATATTTCTTTGAAGCACATGTTGTATGCCGATTTTCTCTTTAAGAATAGCATCTCTGGCAGCCTCAGATTTCTCAATGCAAGACTTGGTCACAGACAACTGCAACAATAAGAAGAGAACAGTCAAAACTCTCTCTAAAACAACCCCTGGCTATTTGCGAATTTGTAAATACAGGCCTGGAATGACAATTATTACAACAAATACAAAACAAATGATGACAATGGGGCAATTATAATGAACAAGTTTCTATATTTTTAGCTCTTTGAATTTAACTATGCAAGACTAACAAATATGTGAACCAATCAATAAATATAGACAAGTCACAAGTGACATTTGAGTTTAATGCATGAAATGATTCAAAATACATAAAACTTCAGTATTACCTCCTCATTTAGCTCCTTAAGAGATTTCTGCTGCAAAGTAATGGCACGATTCGCAGCAGCAAGCTGCCCCTCCAATTTAGCCACATCTGCTTGCAATGCCTTTAGTACATGGTGCAAATGAAGAACATATTAAAAAAAAAAAGCATGGTGCAAATGAAGACTACAATTAAGCTTCCACAAATGCTATGCCATCACAATTCCCAGCTTCTAATATAATTTGATAGGTGATTTGAAGAGATCAGGAGGAATGGTTCTTATTAAGCATTAGAATTGGGTCCTAATGATTTACATACTAGTGACACAGCCAAAACGCCTAGAAGTTTTACAAATAGCAACACAATTTTTCCCTTGGGAGTAGAATAATCAGAAACAAAATTTTGAGACATCTTACTCAAAACTGTCTTACTCAAAACTGTACTATGTCAATGAGGTACAAGACTTCAAGAGATTGATATCATACATCAATCTTTGCATTAATAATTGAATTGATTTCTATGGTGGTTTGAAGTTGCATGAGGTAGATAAATCAACAGGTAATCTAGTCCCAGACAAACCAGCAATTAAAAGTTGTGCTTAGTTTGATCATGAAAATTGGACTTAAAGAAACCCATATACTACTAATACTATAATAAACTCATAATAAAAGGGAAGGGGGAAAGCCAAATAGACGGGAGAAAGCATGAGGAAGTTAAAAGGTATGCCTGTTTGTGACAGAGAGCACAAACCCAGAGTATCTCACTTTCACACAATAAATTACCCTATACCAAGCCTCATTAGTAGTCTTAAAACTAACAGTGACATCCAGGGTTAAAAAGCAGCCTACCCAACCAAAACAAAACTCTCTCTCTCTCTCTCTCCACTCTCCTCTCTCTCTCTCACTCCTCACACACACACACACACACACACACACACACACTACACGACACTACTACTA